GGAGTGGAACAGTCACTGGGCCAGAGAGAGAACACAAGAGGGGGAATGGTTGTGTAGTCTTGTGGTTAAGGCATCCACCTGGGAGGCAGGAGACCCCAGGCCCAGTCCCCTCACTGTAATCATTGTTTCATTATTTAGTCACAGTGAAACAGCTTTAACAGGATGAGATAGGGGGAGCCCCATGTCCGAATAGGCCAGTGGTTAAGAAATGCTCCTGAGAGGCGGGAAACCCCTGTTCAAAGACTCTCTCCTCCTCTGGCAGGGAGTGGGGAATTAAACCTGGGTTTTCTTACATCTCTGCTCTAACCATTGGGCTAAAAATTATGAGGTAGGTGGGGACACTACCACCACTGGGTGTGGAGTGAGGCAGGCGCCTACTTCATTCTCACAAGAAATTACTTAGGTACCTACTCCACCTGACTTGAGGTGGCTGGTTACTATTCATGGATCCCAACGCAGAGCTAGGCATCTCCCCGCAGTCCAGATATAGGCCCCTATCTCCAAGAAAGGGGTGGGGATTCACACCCAGCCCTCTTATAGGCATCTCCCATTAGCTAGCTTAGGCTGCACCCCACCTAGCATGCTGGCTTTTGTGGATCGCATTCTTAGGTGCCTAGGCTCCCTATGTAATGAATGGGGAGAGATAGGTGCCTACCTCAGCTTTGTGGAGCAGCGCCGCCCAGAGAATTCAGGGGGCCTGGGGCAAAGCAATTTTGGGGGCCCCTTCCATAAAAAAAAGGGGCAATACTATAGAATACTATAGTCTTGTGGGGGCCCCTATGGGGCCCAGGGCCTGGGGCAAATTGCCCCTCTTGCCCCCCCCCCGGGCAGCCCTGTTGTGGAGTCTGGTGGTGTTCCTGTGATTTTTTTCTAGGTGCCCAGAAGTTAGGCACCATGATGCTGGGGATTGCAACACCCTAGTCTCTCCGTGGATCCCATCCTAAATGTATATGGAGAAAATACCAGACTCCATATCAGATTTCCGCTCCAAACAGGAAAATGACTTTCAGGGCCCCCCAAACCTGCTGCTGCCTGGCAAATTCTGTTGCTGCTCAGCAAGGGGGCAATACATGTGTCAGTTTCCCTGTTTGAAGCAGAGCTCAGTGATGTGGAGTCCAGTATTTTGTTAGTATGGTTTATTTAAAAATGTGCACAAGTCCCATTTCCTTGGGCACAGGGTGGTAACAGAGCACAGACAAGTGCCTCCTGCATAAACTTCATACGAGACATCTGGAAATTAATTACAAACACTTCTCTGACTCTTCAGCCCATCACACTAGGCAGGCCTGGACTGGACTTCTAACCAAGTGCCCCATGAACCTTTCCCTTCTCCAGACCACTAGTCTCATCCGTTTCCTTGCAGGAGTGAGAGAGCTCTGGATACAAATGCAGTAGCAAAGACAGTGTGGAGGCAGTACAGCTGGGAAGAGGGGAAGTCTCACCCCCCAAGGATGAATCATGGTGAGGCAGGTGGTATCTGCAGCATATAACACCAGCCTAAGACAGTTTGCAGCCATATCTGGCACCAGCTGTTTTGCTTGCCGTGCTCCCTGTAGACCCCACTACCTTAAGGCTTACAACTGCAACAGAGGTGATCATCACATCCCATGGTAACCATTGCTCTTCAGTACCTGCTAGTGTCACAGTCCATGAAGAAGGGCTAGGCAAACAGTACACACCAGAATCCAAACCCACAGCATTCTGTCCCAGTGAATCAAAGCTGAACTTTTGCAAGTTCGGATTTAGCATCTCAACAAGATAATGGTGCATCAAGAAGCAAACGTCACCACATGAAGTCTGACCAACAAGTGCCTCACCATGAGGGGCCCCTAGCTCGAGCTCGGGAAAGAGTTCAAGTTTGTGTTTTGACCATTTTTTTTTAAACCAATCTCTCTTGTATCTCCCACACAGCAACTTTGGCATACACATTACTAGCAAGGTCGATGATACAATCTTCCAGGTGCCAGTTGGACTGAGAAGAGGGGTGGGGGAAGGAAAGCAGATTCAAGATCAACAAGGTTTATTTTTGGCATAGAAGTTCTAATGATTAATGGAGTCTTGCTGGCACACTAAGTATCTGATCTCAAATCCCCTTTTCAGAAAGTGTATTGTAGTTGGTAACACTGATGCTAACACAACAGTTAAGATTCAATAGCTGTGTTTTGTTTTGTTTTTTAATTGATGCAGGAGTTATAATTAAGAGAAAAAGTGGCGAGATCCCATGCCCGTTGGCAGTAGAAGCTTTTGCTGCTCATCTTAGCTATATCTGCAAATATGACGACAAATACAGCAAGTAAGTGGGTGGGATGGCGAGTGGGTGAATCCCGTGTTACTGGAACATTTGACCCTTTCTTGGTTTTTGAGGGGAGACTAGGAGCATGCTCCTGCCCTCATTAAATTCAATGGCAAAACGCTCATTGACGTCAAAGCAAGTGGAATCAGGCTCTATAACTTTGCACGATTTTCCTAAGGGAGGCAAGCTGCACTACTGACCGTTGTCTTGGGAATTTGTGTAGGAGTTAGATATGAACAAACAGTTCTGGTTAAATTCAGAACATCCTTCCTCCCCCCTTCACATCTTGCATAATTCAGCAAAGCTGGACCAGATCCAAAACACTGATACTCCTGTCTGTCCATTCTTCAGCCAAAACACCACGAGAATTGCATCCTTGGAGTATTTAAATGGCATAGCTAGAGAGCCGTTTGAGAGAGAAGAACCAAGGTGGTGGTGGATCCACATTAGGTTTAGGCTAAAGTTTGGGTTTATGGCCAAACCAGCACATCTGGTGAAGACACTCAATGCCCACGGGAGAGAGCTCTCCTGTATGTATAATAAAACCACCTCCGCAAGCAGCAGAAGCTATGTTGGTGGGAGACACACTAGCGCTTAGGTCAGTATAACTTGTATTGCCCAGTGGGTGGAATATTCACACCCCTGAGCAATATAAGTGGTAGTGTAGACATAGCCTAAGACTACCAGGAGTTTCTACTGCCTTCCAATACACTGTCAGTCACCAGCTTCGCCATGTTATTAACCAGCTATTCCCAGGCACCAGGAATTAGTTACAGCAGCTTTGATCCAAGTCATAACTACAAGAGCAAGAGAGATTCTGTTTCTTTGCTATAGCTGCCTTCTCTACGTTGTCTACCCTTAGTGAGCGTCAGCTGCAGGACTCTCCATAATTAGCAGCCTCTGCACTTTCCCTGGAGCTGGGCAGGTCCTTTCACAGATTCTTAATTCCCTCCTTGCCCTGTCTGGGGCTGTTTTTGTATCCTTGATTTTTAAGGGATATTCTTTGCTCAAAAGGTCATTAAAAAACCCCTGTTCCTTACCTGTGCTACTTACAGCACCTTAATCAGCTATACACAAGCTCTCTCTCCAGGGACAAGTAGCTGTCTTCCTGTGGGTTAGCAAAATTATGGTTTTGCCCCAATAATCCTCATGGCAAGGGTACATGAGTAGGTTTTGTGCCTCACTTGGCAAATTTACATGACCGTTTTGCTAAGGCTGCATGACTAAGTGAGACTTCCTTAAAAATAAACTTTTCACCATTTAGGCAGTTTGCTTAGTGCTTTTTGCTCAGCTTGGATGATGATCTGAACTAGACAGTTCCGTGTATTTCCTTTCTGGTTGTACACCGGATCACGGGTGTATTTGGGCAGATGGCATTCAGTGAAGCCGAGTTATGGCAGCCATTTTATGAGCTATATTTTATTACGTCTGTACATGGGATGGGATCCATGAAAGGCGTTAGGTGCTTAAGTCGCAGGTTGAGCTGCTTAAGTCCCAGTCTTGGGTCCACTGCAATCCACAAAACTTCCACTGAACCATGTAGATGCTTAAACTCACTTGGTGCCTAAGTTTCTGCCTCTGGGCATGCAGGACGTTACCTCCCTCTAGGCATCTGCCTAAGCCCTAGAGTAAGTCACAAACCAGGGAAAGACAAGCGTTCAGCCATCTAAGTCACGTGAGGGACCTGATCCAATAGGTGGCCTCTGAGCACATATGCTGGATTGGGTCCCGTTCAAAATCCGGCCAAAGAAAGAGGCGGTGAACTTGTAACTTTTAATCTAGTAGTTAGAGCATGGACCTGGGATATTGGAGCCCCAGGTTCAATTCCCTCCTCTGCCTGAGGCTTAGCACACACCACTGCCATTGGCATCTCCCAATGTCTAGCTTAGGCCACTCCGCACCTAACATGCTGGCTTTGTGGGTCACATTATTAGGCACCTGTCTCTCCCCATTCCTTATATAGGGAGCCTAGGCACCTAACTCAGTTTTGTGGATCACTGTGTTGTTCCACAGATTTTCTAGGTGCTCAGAAGTTAGATGCCATAGTGTTCAATGTTGCAATACCCAAGTCCCTTTGTGGAGCTCACCCCTAATCCCTGTATACTACCACCAGCCAAGCATTAGGTCTCAGTAATATAAGGGTCAAGGAAACAGTTCTGCACAAAGACAATGGGCAAGGTGACTGAATGGGCCCTTCCCCATCTCTAAGGTCTGTTGCTTCCAAATACACATGCAGTTTCTCACTAGGCAGGAAGTCAGTAAAATGTGCCATTTTTAAAACAAAGGAACTGGGTTCTGGATAAATTCAAATTGCATCATGGTTTGGTCCAACACATAAAAAGAATGCTTACTGAGCCCATAAGCTTTCCCCAGGCTCCCAGCAGCTTGTGCGTTTGCTGTTTTAGCTGGCGGACCTGGTGCTGGACCTGAAGCTGTTTTGAAAACTAACCAGAACATGGCTCTTAGAGCATTAAACACTTTCTCTGGGAGTTCGTACAGTAGGTACTGAGGTGCTTAATTCCCATTGATTTCAGTGGGAGTTTGGCACCTAAATACCTTTGAGGAGCTGGACCAAATGCCTCTGTTGACCAAATGTTGAGTACTGTAAGGGTAAGAGCTGCCTGCTGAGCACTATTTGGGGAACTTGTTTGGGAGAGAGAGAGGCAAACTAATCTATCGCCATATTGTATGTTACTGCAATAGTGGCCTCCGTTTTGGGCATCTCATTGCCAGAAAGATATTGAGCAACTAGAGGAAATTGAGAGAAGAGAAATTAATGTCCAGTTAATCCCTCTGTCCCAGTGATAATAGGAAATGAATAATGGGGCAGGAATCTAAGTTTACAAGTATATGAAGGATGCGAACATCAGAGAGTATGATTATTTGGGGTGGTACAAAGGGATGAACTAGGATTGATGGGCTGAAGTTAACTGAGGGGAAATTTAGGCTAAATCTCAGGAAAAGTTTTCCTGACAGCGAGATATATTTGGCTACAGCATAGGTTGCCAAGGGAAGTGGTGGAAGCTCCACCACTTGGCACACTGAAAACTGGATGGAGACCGAAGGTACTGAAGTGACCAATCCTGCACTGCTAGGTGACCAAAACAGGCCTTTTCCATCATGCATTTTTGCCCAGATGATGTGATCTATTGGCAACCCTGGAGCTAGAACTTTCTGATGAGGGCAGAAAAATGCAAGACACAGACAACCGAACATTGCACCAAAAAGGGAGAACTAGAGACTCTCTCATATCTTTACTACAACAAAGAGTTATCAAACATATTGTTGTACATGTCCCTTAAGTCAGTAACAATGAACAGCTGGCGTATCGTCCTAATGAGAGCTCCTGGGCCTGCACAACCTCTGGGATCACTTTTCTTGCCTCCCAGCAGGACACACATAGAAGGGTTTGAATGTTGATTATCTTTTTCCTCTCCCCCTTTATAGGTATTTCATTTCTCATAAACCAAACAAGACCTGGCAACAAGTGTTCTGGTTTACCATCAGCATTGCCATAAACAATGCCTACATCCTCTACAAAATGTCAGATGCCTATCACGTGAAAAGGTACAGCCGGGCACAGTTTGGTGAGAGACTTATAAAGGAGCTGCTGGGCTTGGAGGACACTTCACCTTCTCATTGATGCATTATTCCTTGTGGCTTAGGTATGGGGTGGAGGGGGAGCAGAAGAGGAGACCACAGCTCTGGAATGTCAAAGCAGGGAACTCATGACATCACCAATGCCGCTCCCTATAGGAAAAAGACAGTGATGCCAGTAGAGGGGTGGAGACTTTGTTAAAAGTAGCAGCTGGCTGTGGAATGTTCTACAGAGAGAGCCACAGGAAGTCAACACACAACTGCATCTGTGAATGCTCTGCGGGCACCTGTCCATCCAAAAAGATTTAAGTTAGTAGCCATTAGTCTGCCATATCTGTTGAACAGGGTCATCTTGTAAGGCTTCCATAGGGCTTATCACGAGCTTGCCACAAAGGGATGTAGCTCAGTGGTCCTATGTGGGCATTACCAAAACTCTGCCTTGTCTGGAGTTCTTTAACTGTGGGACAAGCAATGTTGTGTCATGGATAACAATGCCTGACACCTTGTAAGGAATCATGACATGGTTAAAGAGAAACAACATAGATTTATATGTTCTTCACAAGTATATTGACCTGTAACAGGCAAAGACAACAAAGAGATTAACAGTTAAGAACTTTTTTTTTATTAGTGTAAGGCAATCCGATTGCAGTATAGGAATAAAACGTTTAGGGGGAAATTAAACATCTTGGAGAACCTTAAAATAAAAGTCTGAGTGAAATTTTAAAAATCATGGGGAAAGCTGAATTGATGCACATAATTTAACAAATAAATGAGGTAATACTGCCTGCCACCATAGCTTCAATATTGCTGGTGTGTAGGTGAGAAATCTCAGAGTAACAACTAACAACTATATTTTCTTTGATTTCAGTTGTAGCTTCAGGTTCTTCTAAGTGTTGCTTAAGATCTACCTTAATGGACTGTTTTACTTAAATTTCTATGGATGTTTTTCATTTTCCCACTTTTTTTTTTAAATATCAAGACAGATATTCTTCATCTTAGATCTTAATTTCCTATTAACACACATTTGGCGAGCAAAAATAGTTCACCGATAGCAGTGCGTTTTGCGTTTTCATGGTTGGGTGTTCTGTAGGAATCCTTCTTAGAATTTGAGATGCGTCACAGTAGCTGTACTTTTGCAAATTATATGTTTAGAAAAATAGTGTGTCATTGTAAAAAACTGTTCAGGTGCAACCAGACGTTGACATCACTGAAGCAGAACAAAACCCAAATGCTTTCCTTGTTCTGAGTGACTTTCTGGAAGCTAGAACCATTAAGAATTAGTGCAGCCTAGTGCCACTGGCCAGTATTGACAAGACTCATTGGCTGAATGTTTTCAACACAATACCGAGTTCACTGCCACCAGGACGCTTCAGTGGGGAAAGCAAAAGGGGAGAGAGGTCTGATAGCAGGAGGCAAAAACCCAGCGCTGGAGTAAAATACCTAATATTATGCCTTTGTTGGCAGAAATAGGTGGTATTTATTAGCACTCTATTGATCTATCTCAAAGACCATATATTCAAATAAGCTGCCTAAAGCGTGTCACTGAAATCCATTTTCAGAGATGCTCAGAACCGACCACTCTCAACCTGTGAAAATCAAGCCCCTCATTGTAATGCCTGACTTTAGCCAACCATGTTTGAAAAATATTGGCCTAAACTATCACGTAAAGATTAGATGACATGCTCATTGTGCCCTGTAACTTCAAAATTTTGCCAAAATTTATTCTGAAGAGTTGGTGCTAGTTACATAGCTAGAATTACCAAGAAAAGAACATTGGGATAAGATCTGGTTGGAACTTTCATAAACAGACAGCTTCCCCACAGCAACCGTCTGATCAGAGCAACCTTCCTTCCTTTGTCTGCAGTGCAAGAACATTGCTGAGAAAGGATGAGCCCAATCCTCCAACATGCTGAGTATCTCCCGTAAGGGTCTGAGTTCCCCAACTCTCACTGATATCAGTGGTAGCTAAGGGCTTTCCTCACCTCACAGGAGGTCCTCAGCATTTTATAGGAGTAAGCCCCAGACCAACTAGATGTGTTACACCTGTTCTCTCAGCACTTGGCCCTAACATAGGGTCCGATGCAAAACCATTTTGCAGTCTTTTCAGTGATGTCAGTGGATCAGGCCCATCTACTACAGCAACTGCTTTTTAAAATAAAATAAATAAATAAATAAATAGTTGGAAAATAGTTTCCCACTGGTTTGTTCTGCTCACCATACAGATTGCGTGAGCTAAAATTTTACCAGGTCCTAGTTTTACCTCGGGGATTGGCTCCTGAGTAGTTCTCCCTTGTTTTGGTGTTGACAGGCCGATTACACAGTGGCTGGCTGATTATTAATTATTATTATAGGGAAGATGCTTTTTTCCCCCTCCCGCGCAAAGGAGAAGAACTAATAATTAATAATAATTTATAATTAATGGAGATATCCCATCTCCTAGAACTGGAAGGGACCTTGAAAGGTCATCGAGTCCAGTCCCCTGCCTTCACTAGCAGGACCAAGTACTGATTTTGCCCCAGATCCCCAAGTGGCCCCCTCAAGGATTGAACTCACAACCCTGGGTTTAGCAGGCCAATGCTCAAACCACTGAAACAGAAACAAAGTATTGCTTTGCAATGAGTTTCAGTCCCACACCCCCTCCCCCAAGTGTCTCCCACAACCTTGAACTGGCTTCCTTAAGATGCCTAGAAATTCAATAAAAGAACAAGCAAAAACACCACACAACCCACCCCACCCTATATAAAATGACTCAAAACTGGGTTTCACAGCCTATAAGCAAAATTCACCAAAGTAAAACTTAGCCTGTGCCAATAAAATGACTGTGATCCACTATATCTTTCCCATTATATTTATCTGGAAGGAGGAAGGATGGGGGATATTGTGGGGTTTGGTTTTGTTGTTGTTGTTAAAAAGCATCTCACAATTTCTCTTTAAAATATTACAAAAACCTTTTCTTGGTTAAAACAATTTAGTGTCGACAGCAGTTCAGACCTCAGTCTTTAGTCATTCCCTTGCTGTATATTAGATTTTGTGATTTCCCCCACCCGACCACAGAAATACATGGCTGTTCCTTCGTTTCAGAAGTCAATAAAAACAAAGGGCTAAGTGTCAGAGGATTGCAAGAACACTGTTGATGACAACCTTGTATGAGCATGGATGCCAATGACAATGCGTAAACATGGTTTGTGTGATGGCTTGTACCATCAGATTGGATATGGTTAAGTATCCTCAAGCCATTCTGGGTAAAGACCTTAAAGCTCAGGTCTTTAAAAACTTTAAAAAATTAAAAACTGAGGGAAATGCCAACTACCTGAGATCAGCTTCTCTCTACCTCTGAGAAAGGGGACATTGAAAGTGGAGCAGAATGGGGGGAGGGAAAGTTGTCCCTCTTCTGTTAAATTTGTTTTCATTCAGTATACAATTCCTAGCATTGGCAATTCTTTGTTCACCACAGCATGCAGACTGCTTCAAAGAATTAAAGTGAGACAGTGCAATATGCAGACAATATTCTATGCACAGCACCTCTTCCAAGGAGTTTTCATGTCCTGTCAAGACATGTATTTGAAAAAAGGTTCATTATGGTGTGAAACATTTATATAACGTTCACTGAAGCTAAAAGCCAGTGTCAAATAGTGTTGTATTATAGTTTGCTCCACTGTGGAAAACTATTGTAAGGGCTCCCTGGAACTCTGACCCTGTAGCTTTTTATCTTAGCCCATTTGTGCACTTGAAAAGAAAGGGAATGATTTAAAGAGACATCTCTCCTGTTTCCCTTTTTGCTCAGTAGTTCTGGCTATGTTCGATCTAAGCATCTCTCTTAATCCCTGCCTCTATTTCTTTTTCATTAACAGATATTTTAAGAACCCAGATTTCTCAGTGTCACTAAATAATTGATTCAGCGATATCATTTTTGGGTTCTTATACATCTCACAAAAGAGAGAGACATTTCTCTGTTTCCACAGTTACACAAAGGGCACTGAATCAGAACCAGCATTTTCATTCCTGACCTCCAGCAACCCTTACTTTGTTCCTTTTATAACAGAGGTTTGTTCTTCTAACAGCTACCTAATGGGTGCTTTCTTGAGTTGGCAGGTAATGAGGCCTCTGTTAGGGCAATTCTATGCTTCCTTTAGGTATATGTCACGTTAGGAGCTGATTTTAGTGGTGGTTTTGGGAATACACTGCACTGTAATAACATTTTGCACTTCTATAATGTCTTCCATCTAAGGATCTTGAAGTGCTTTAGAATATGAACTTTAATTAGCCCCTCACTATACCCCTGTGAAGGGGACAGGAAGTATCAACATTCCCCATTTACAAATGGGGAAACAGACACAGAGAGGGTAAGTGATTTACCCAAGGTCACTCCAGAAAGTCTGTGGTAGAGCTGGGAAGTGGACTTGATTCTCCCAACTCCCAGTCCTTAGGACTGCATGTGATTTTTTTAGAAATTTATAGTTTTTATTCATAGGCCCAGAGGTCAAACTAGATGTATTTTTCTATACTAGAAAAATAGATGAAAGGAACTTAACAAGACCAGCCTTCCCCCTTTGGAGTAGGGACAACATGACTCCGTCACCTCACTAATTTCATTTCTCACAATGCATTGTGAGCCTCCGCCAAAGCCCACTGCAGTCACTGGAAAGATTCCCATTGAATTCAGTGAGCTTTAGACGAGACCTATGGACTTGACTGGGGGAGCCCAGAGCAGGGAGACAGAGGGTCTGTAATTCAGAGAACAACATACAATGTAGTGCAACCCAGCCAATAAGAGAAACAGTTACTAACAACTATCTCTAGTAAAAAATAAAAAAAAGTCTAGGTTAAATAGATTTCCCATCCTTCTCTGCTATGGAATTCCCATGGAGCCAAATGCTCATCTAAGTCTGAGCTCCAAAGAGAAAGCCAACAACATTTACAGAGCAAAGCAGCTTTGTTGTATCTTAAAATATGTATATATTTGGCCTGCCTTTGAATAGGGATCTTTGCAAATATCCTTCTATCATCTGCTCAAATGTAATCGTATTTACAGTTCTTCTTACTACGTTCCTCCTTGTCTAGGTTACGATGTAAGGTTACCCTCAACTCCCTCTGTTTTTTGTTCAAAGGCTCATTAAAAACCTAGAGATGGAAAGGCCCTGTTAGATCATCTAGTCCAGGGGTGGCCAACCCGTGGCTCTGGAGCCACATGTGGTTCCTTGTATAGGCACAGGCTCCAGGGCTGGAGCTACAGGCGCCAACTTTCCAATGTGCCGGGGTGGGTGGGGAGGGTGCTCATTGCTCAACCCTTGGCTCTGCCACAGGCCCTACCCCCACTCCACCCCATCCCGCCCCCTCCCCTGAGCCTACCATGCCCTCGCTCCTCCCCCCCTCCCCCCCAGAGCCTCCTGAAAGAGCTGATTGGGAGGGAGGGGGAGGCGCTGATCGGCGGGGCTGCTGGTGGGTGGGAGGCGCTGGGCGCTGATGGGGGGCTGCTGACGTATTACTACGGCTCTTCGGCAATATACATTGGCAAATTTTGGCTCCTTCTCAGGCTCAGGTTGGCCACCACCGATTTAGTCCTTGGGGAACAGTGCAGAATTGGTGCGCTTTAGCTGATCTAATTTTAAAGTGTTCCTGTCTGTCAGGTTTCCTCCACGTTGCTTGGGAAACTGGTCTGTATGCTAACAGAGCTCCCTTTGGAAGCTTTTCCTGATAAGAAAATAAAGATAGACTTTTCTTAATTTCAGCTGTTATATGCCCTTGGATCACATTAAATCCTACTAGTTCTTGGTCTACACCTCTCTAAGCAGTAGTTCATTCTGGAAGGCGAGAGGTCAGACAGAGTTGACCATCTAATGTTTTTATTACTTTGCAAATGATACCATTTTACTTTGATATTTTAATTTTTTTTTTTGGCAAAGACTGTACCTATTGCAGTCACTGGGAAGCCCCAACAGTGCTTCCCAAGACAGATATCAGAGGTATCAAAT